CACAGTCTCAGACTCGGACTCGGAGTCGAAGTCGTACTCGGGTTTGGGCGAAGTGAAAGAAAAGAGTTGCACTCGGCTTATGGTCATGCTCTCTGGTTCTCTCTCTCTATCTCTCTCTCTATCTCTCTCTCTCGCTCTCGGTTAATTCAATTGATTGCAGGCCGGGCCGCCCATCGGTGAGCAAAAGAGAGCGCGGCGGCCCAGGCCTTTTACCGTAAACTGTCGGCGCAATTAAAATGAATTGAAACTGAACTTTTCTCTTCGGTTCGTGGCTCCGAATAACAGTTTTCCTTGGGCAGCTGTCGCATAATTCATCAACTACAATATTTCGTCGCGCAGGGAAAGGAAAAAGGGAAAAATTTAAGAAAAATTTGCGTGTGTGCCGTCGTCAGAAAAAGTTTTTCATTTTTAGCATCTTGATTGTTTGTTAACAGGAGGAGGAAGAGGGCAAAGGAGGGGCAAGCGGGAGGTGGCAGTGGAAGAAACTCTGCCTAGTAGCCGGGCCGGGGCCAACAACGTTGCCCGGACTGCCTGCAATGGGCACGGGCTTGGGCTCAGCACCAGCACAGTCCTGTCCGTCCCTGACTGTCTTCTCTGTCCGTTTTGCTAACCTCTATCTTCTCCTCTCATCACCCTCAGGCCCCTGTCCTCCTCTCTCTGGCTGCTCCGCCGTTCGCTTACCTTCTCTCCTGCACTGCTTGCTTGCTGGGGCTCTGGTATCTGAAATTGTTCAACTTCATCAGCAGAAAAAAAAAGATGCTGCCGCTGCCTTTCGTGTGTGTGTGTGTGTGCTGCCAAATCACACCAAGACAGGCCACCCCTTCTGCCCCTCTCACTCCTCTTCACCGGCTGTCATGAGTCTGAGCCGACGAGTCTTTGGTCTCTTGTCCTTTTTGTTTTCTTGCGCTGCAGCAGCAAAAGACCCCTAGGACACGGAGCACTTGAGCTTGGGCTTGGGCTGGGGTTGGGGTTGGGGGTTTGCCGAGAGGTGGGGGGCAGTGGGGAGGAGTTAAGCGGATGCATAATACGGAAAAATGTCTTCAAGAGAGGAGAGGTGGAGTAGCGATTCTCAAGCTGCTCGCTGCCTTATTTGTTCTTTATGGTTCTCCCCCCTCAACCCCTGCCAAGTCCCGCCACCGCACAGTGTGACAAAATGCAATGGAAAAAGCAATTAGGTCTTTGAGTAGAAAAGTGGGCAGTGTTTCGTAATCAATGGCCCTTTATATGTATATATTTTTGTGTTCCTAATTCTTCGTTCCGCTCTCTGCTCTGCTTCGATCGCTCGCTGCTCTCTTCGTTTGCGCTGTTTCTCTCTCTCGCAGCTCTCAGTAAGAGGCTTCGTCTCACGACAAATGGAAGCCGAAACTCTATTGATCTCGTCTCGAAGTGTGACCAGAGGGGGTATCGTAGCAAGCAAGGGATTTTATTTCCCCTGGAAAAGCTGAGAACTTTTGCACTCGCAACCACACGCCATGTTCGACGCGTACAGTGAGGCCTCGCAGATGGCCGCAGCGTTCAAGGAGTGCGCGGACCACCTGCTTGTGGCCGAGTACCTGCCGCACAACGATCGGGTGGCGTACCTCAATCTGCGGACCCTGGAGCAGGAGATCTACTGCGTCGAACTGAGCTTCGCCGGCTTCCGGATCGTGGGCTACGACTTTGACTGCATCCAGGACGGGGTCAGCAGCTGCGACCAGGTCTATGTGTCCGCCCATCGTCTGCTGGCCGCGATCAGTCCGCTCTACGCGGAGGTGGCAGAGAGTCGCGGTCGCCCCACCACCCCCAGAAGTGACGGTGGCGGTGGCGGTGGCGGAGGGGGCGTGGCCCGCTAAATTTCTGTCTGTTAATTGCTGCCAAAAGTGATAATTAAACGTCTGTGCCCCAGCCACGGCTGCAGGCACAACTTTGGGGCAGGTAAATGACTTGATTGCAATAATAAAGCTCCCAGCCTGGGCACCGATTTGGAGCTGGTCTTTTGATTAATTGCTGCCAAGTGAGAGGACGAGTGGACGGAGCCACAGCCACACTGGCAGGCAGCAGACATCAGGCAGTGGCAGGGGCAGTGGCAGCGGCAAGGGGCAACACTGCTGCAAGTTGATTGACTCAACTTGGCACTCTTCGAACCTTTTGTAGCAAAAAAGTTAACAAGTTTTTGCCGTTCCACTTGACTGCTGCTGCTGTTGCTGCCAATGAAGATGCAGACTTTGGATGGAGCACCCAACCCAAGTCCAAAACCCAAACTCAAGCCCCAGCTACAGGCAACATGCAGCATGCTCCTCCATTCCCTCCTCTACTGGGCTCTGGTCTCTGGGCTCTGGGGTCTGGGGTCCATGCCAACTAAGGTTTTATCTAGTTGAGTCCATCTAGCCGCTTGCCGTCCGTCCTGCCGCTGTCTGCCACGGACAACGACCGAGGCGGAGACGGAGACGGAGACGGAGACAGAGACAGAGGCTAAAGCGACGAATGCTTGACACACACACACACACATACACATACACAGACAGATGGGGACGGCTGGGCGAACGCATTTGCTACGGCGTTCGTATCGGCCATGTCTATCTGGCCGGGCTCTCCACTTGTCTATGCTCGTATATTTGTCCATTGAAGCATGCAATTGATTGCTGCAACGGCCACAGCAGCAGCAGCAGCAGCAGCCTCCACTGCAGACTCCTATCCCCCCTCCCCCCTGGGACCCAGGGACTCACCCCCTCCACTGCACATCCGATCCTGCTGCGCTTTAATTGCCTTTTCATTGCAGCCCGTCGGCCTTTTGCCTCTGTGCCGCGTTGCAGTATCCCTGAATCCCTCAACCCCTGTCCCCCCCGGGTTCCTCCCTCTCGTCTGTGTGTGTGTGTGTGTGTAATTTGTGGTTGTTGTTCTCTGTTAATGCATTACATGAATTTTAACAAGCTTTGCATTCTGACTGACTATCCGCCGCAGCTTGCCCCACGCCATGCCATGCCATGCCACGTTCCCTGCCGCCCCCCTCCCGCTTTGTGGCAGCTCGAAAAGCTCCGTGTGTGCTCCGATGTTTGTTTATTATAGCCACATCCCGTCGAACGCAGACATAATTTAACCTTTGCCTGCCCCGCCCCGACCTGCCCTGCCCTGCCCTGTGCCCCACCTTCTTGCTTTTCATTTCGGAAATTCTCAATCAATGAATTATTCGTAGTCAATTTTTGGTTTGGCCAAAGGAAAACAAGTAGGAAAGGACATACCGGTGTGGAATGGAAATCAGCAAACAGGTTCCGCCTCAAAGCGCAATCGCAAAATCAAAACTTGTTTGCCCCTTGCCACCCATTTCCCATTTCCCTGTGCCCACCGCCCCCCCCATCCACCCATTTTCCATTGCGCTCTGCCACTTTTCGAACTAATTGGCTGCGTTTTTGGTTAATTAGCGCAAAGGCAGCAGCGACAGCAACAAAGCTCTATCCCTGGCAAAATCAATCCGTCCGCCGGTCTGTCGGGCTGTCGCCAGGTTTTGAAAATGAAATCTTTTTTCTGTGGCGCACACGCGCTTTATTGGCACTCAAATTGGCGGCTAAACTTTGGCAGCAGGCAGCCGTCAACAGCAGCAAAAACAAAAACAACAACAACGTGGATACATCTAGCTACAACAACAGCGACAACTATAGCGACAACAACGATTTTGTCTGGCCGAAAACGTTGTAATTATTTGATGCCAGATAACAATTTATTGCCAGATACTGTCACTGTGACAGTAGCACGTCCCTGGACGGGGGTATCCGTAGCTGATTAGCGCTTAAATTGAACATTTTCCATATGCTAATCACACGGTGCACCCGAAGTTGTTGTATTTTGGTTACAACTCTGGCTAATATTCATTTACTGTTCAATTTCTGTTGTAATTCCGTCAATTGATTGTAGATGGAAATACATATGTATAATATAAATAAATAAATGGAAATGCAGTTTTATCTATTTATTCAGCCAATTTATAAAATATATTGATTTTTTGACAACAACAAAAATGCCATAAAAATCTGTTGGTTTTTATCTGTTTACGTTTTTTGTTACATCTGTCTCTTTTTCTCTATTCTCACAACAACAGCAGTCGTTTTAGCACGCTCCCCTCCGACAGAGCACGCACACTGCACGAGGATGAGCGTGTGTGCGAGAGAGAAAGAGAGAGGGAGGGAGATCGAGTGCAATTTTATTTGTTCCTTCTGGCTATAATATTGATCCGATCTAGTCCAGATTCGGCACTCTGGTAGATATGGTCTTTCTCTATGATTCTGCGTTTTCCTTTTTTCTGTGTTTTATTCAGGGGGATTCAGGGTTCTCAATGTGCCAAAGTGGAATATATAGGATACATAGTTCCAGCGAATGTACAGCGAATCACTGGGCGACATTCAACGATTGTGCTTTGGGATACGAGGAACCCCGGGGTATTTCGCAGCTGCCTCCAATTCCCGATCCCCATAGAGGACTTCATTTGGCAGCAGTCCCAGCAGTTCCCATGCAGTCGCACCGTAAATTTTGGAGCAGCAAATGGAGCTGGCTGGCTGAAAATGGGAGAAACTCAGCCCGCAACACAGTGGTGGGGCAGCGAGGGGGACCAGGCGGCTGTCATCAGTTGACAGCCAGCAGGACCAGAGGCAGGGGCAACAGCATGGGCTTCGGCTTTTAACAATTTGCAATAAATTAGCCGCTGCAACTGTGCAACTGTGCCACAGAGTTTCCCCTGGAAGGCAACTCGAATCGTATTTGGACGGGGGGGCCCGACACATTGGCACTTTTTCGCCAACGTGCACCCTGACACGCCTCCAAACACTCTTTGCCACAACAATTTCCAAACATGTCTTGCCAATTTCACACTCGATGCCGTGCCGCAGAGGCGATTCTGGTCGGTTTCTACCTGGCCAACTTGACTCATCCGCAAGCCATTTTGGGACAGGAATAACGACACTCGCAGCTGGAATTCAGCTCAAAAACTCTGGGACCCTGGGTCCCTGGGACCCTCGGACCGACATTTCTAGGAGGTTGTTTTTGCTTGCCTTTATTTAACGGAGAAGTGCGACTGCTCAAAACATCGTATTTGTGATTTTAATAATGACTTGCACATTTTGGATTACTGTCGGGTGGCTGATCGTGATCAGAATCTTGTAGAATCCGGCGACAAGGACTTCTGGCATCCCCTCGCCGTTGACGGTGCAGCGCGTCAGGGTGTAGGTTTTCTTCGGGAGCTGCGTCATACGCTCGTCCTCGTACTGCGGCAGATCGGAGCAGTCGCCCAGGTTCTTGATCACCATGTCCTTGTAGTAGGTGTTTAGGTATTCGATGAATGTCTGCCTGGGAATCGACATGGGGGTCAGCTTGTAGTCACTTTCGGCGCCGGTTGTGCTCCGGTAGAGCTCCACCTCCACCTAACAACCACACACTCGTCAATGAAGGTCGTTCAGAATAACAGCCACTCACCAAGACGCTGTCGTCGATGTCGAGGTTCCAGAAAAAGGTGCCCGAGAAGAAAAACCCCGTGCGGCCCACCCGCTCCGTTTTCAACTGAATATTCAAGAGGCCTTCGTTGGTGGAATACGCGCTGACCGATTGGGGTTCACACTCCCAGTTTTTCTATAGATTTAATCGATTTGAAACTATGTATTTGTATCTGGTGTGTATCCTTGGGGCTCACCTTTGCGGCACAACCATCGTACAAGGCCGAAGAAATGATCAGCAACGGAATGATGTATGACAACATCTCCCAAACACAACATCTGTTGGACAGGTTCCGTTGGCATCAGCCTTATATACCCATACAATGGAGAGTATAATTAGCTGATCCGAATTACACTGGCAATTACAATCGCAAACACGAACAGATCATGTTCCACGCTCAAATCTGGATTAGGAATGGATTATGGCGGATTTAACATTGGATTGTGCTCCCTTTTACATGGTTTCGTAAAATCCCAACTCGAAATCAAAGCTTTTATTGTAGAATGTATATTGTTTTGACTCTGATGTGGTTGAGCTATTGATCTCTCTGATCTACACATTTCTCTGCACTAGAGACACTCTGTGCCGTGGAGAGGTTCATACGAGTGGAAATTCCACAAGAGATTGCCGCTAGATGGTTTTTCTCAGGGTTTGTGTGAAGTCAACCATCAATTTAGAACGATTTGGACAGCCACCTGGAGCAACCTAGCATAGCACCCCTCTCAAAAATCTCAAAAAAGATCCTGCGATTTAAGATCAAGCCTCAAGAGTCGTTTGTCTGAAGTAACCCGAAGCTTTGGAGGATTTGGACGATTGCCTGAAAGTGTGTCCCCACCACCAGATCATAATAAAATATATCGCTTAAGAGAGATCTGAGAGATACAAAGTGGTTCCCGGGAACTCTTGCTTCATGGACCATCCTGCAATTTATTAGATCAATTTGGTGGTGACCTTCACAATGAGAATGCAGCCCCAATCCACCTGGCCGCTGGCCTTGTAGACGATCTTGTAGAACCCCTCGGGTACTATTTCTGGCAGCCCATCGCCGTTGGCCACGCACTTGTCGAGCCTGTAGACGTTCCTGGGCCAGGGCGGGACGTAGTCGCCCTCGGACTGGACCAAATTGGAGCAGTGGCCGACGTTCTTAATGAAGGCGTCCTTGTAAAAGCCGTTCAGGAACTCAAAGAAGGGCTGCTTGGGAATGGACCAGGGCAGGATCTTGTAGTCGCTCTCAACGCCCGAGCTGCTGTGATACGCATCGGCCTCGATCTAGAGAGAGGTTGAGTGCAGTAGCCAAAAGCCGTCTGAGATGGCCACCTACCATTGTGTTCTCATCCGGATCGTAGTTCCAGTCGACGGTCATGGAACAGGCGAACTCGCCGCGCTTCAACCGATCGATCCTCGCTCCAATCTTCAGCAGGCTCTCGTCCGAACTGAAGGCAGCTATGGACAAGGGCTCGTATTCCCAGTTGCGCTGTTTGTGGGTGGAGTGGATCGTTTGGGCATTAATCTGGGGATTGTTATCATGCTCTATCTATCAGTACCTCTCCCATGGAGCTATGGACCATCAGGACCATCCACATCCAAAGGCCGGCGAACGAGAAAGGCACCGGGCAACGGGAGAACATCTTGCAAAAACTGAAACTGAAACTGAAAACTGATTGCATCGAAGAGGCACCTATATAGCCCACGATCGGTGGATATATATTCTAGTCGAATGCGGCGCGTGGCTGCAGTAATTATTAAATTATACTTGTATACCGAGTATATTTCCTGTCGAATATAGTATTCGACAACGACATCTTGCGTGTCCGGAACAAGAACAACTTTTTGATGCCCAATTCTTTGAACCGTTTCGATCGTTAGCGAATAAATCACTAGGACAGGAGTGAAACCAAGGAGACTGGAACTTTCCCTGGAAATGGACACAGGACACAGGACACGTAGTAGTAGCTTCTGCGGCAGGCAGCTCTCTTGGCCTGTGAATGGATTGAATGTTGGATGTGTTTGTGGTCTAATCTGTATCGTACATTCACTCCAAGGTGGCTATCATCGCTAGCCTGTCAGGGATTCGGGGAGGACTCTAGTCATTCGTGAAGGTCAGACCTCCCCGTCATCGTGCAAAGAATAGAAGTTTCGAGTTTCGAGTATTGATATCCCAAATGTGTAAAAAAAGAAATTTATTTTTCTAGAACATTTTATTTGTTATCTTAAGGACTACAGTCAAACCCCATTCAGGCTGATTTGTCCCGGTGACTATGAAGACAACCTTGTAGAAACCGGGTGCAAGAACTTCCGGAAGCCCCTCGCCATCGAAGACGCACTTGTCGATGTGGTAGGTGTCCTTCGGCCACGGCGGCTGGAACTTGCCCTCGAACTGCGGCAGATTCGAGCAGTGGCCAAGGTTCGAGATGGTCACGTCCATGTAGTACTTGTCGAGATACTCATAGAAGGTTTGCTTGGGTACAGACCAGGGCAGCTCCTTATAGTCCTTCTCCGCACCAGAAGTGCTTTGGTAAGCACTGCTCTCGACCTGCGGCGGTTGGATTCAAGAATTGAAAGATTAGATGTTGGTCACCACCCCTTGTGTCACCCACCATTGTGGTCTCATCTATATCGTATTTCCACTCCAAGGTGCACGAAAGGCCGAACTCTCCGCGCTTCAGACGATCGATTTTGGACTCGATCTTCATCTGGTTGTCATCCGTGCTGTAGGTAACAAAGGACACGGGCTCGTAGTCCCAGTGTTTCTACAATTCAACAGTAGATTATGTTGGGATTCTGTTGCTGGGAGGTCACCACACCTCTACCTACCTTGCCCACGGTGCCGTGGAGCAGGCCGAGTAGCAGCCAGATTTTGATGGATTTGGAAAGAATGCAAAGCATGGCGCGACTTGGACTTGGATCTGCAACAATGTGACTGCGGATGGAGTATTTATACCCTTTGGTGATATCTTTGGGCTCTGCAATCACACGGAACTATCGTGTTTCCTCGCAATTAATTTTCCCCAATTATAATATCGTTATCTAAACTATTTTAGCCTGGATTAATGAAAAACGAGGGGGAACGTTGTGAGCCGCTGCCTTTGCCGCGGCTCTACTTTATTTATTTAAAATAATCTAAAGCCTACAAAATTCGGACGAACCGTTTGGGAGATTTTGATGTATTAGATTTGATCTGTTTCCATTTTTCTTTACACGAACGGACGGGCGGACATGGGTATATCGACTCGACTATTGATGCTGATCAAGAATACATATACTTTATGGGGTCGGAAACGCTTTCTTCTGGGTGTTACAGACATCCACTTCCACCACAAATCCCCACCACAAAAGCCACAAAAGGTTCTGGCAAGAAGTTTGCTCTGCGACAATGTGATTTTGGTACACTATTTATACCCTTGGGTTTTATCTTACAGCTTGGAAGCTTCTAGTCATCTATATCCTAGTACTTTCTACAATTGTTATTGCACTTTCCACATACGTGTGGGATCTGTCGATAGATGAATTGAACCTTCGAATGTTGGTATCCCAAATGTGTGGAAATTTCTATATTCATTCCGCATCCGAAAAACAGTTGTCTAAAAAAGTTTAGCTGTTACCTTAAGGACTACAGTGAAACCCCATTCAGGCTGATCGGGTCCGCTCACTATGAATATGATCTTGTAGAAACCGGGCGGAACAACTTCGGGAAGCCCCTGGCCTTCGATGACGCATTTGTCGACGAGGTAGGTGTCCTTCGGCCACGGCGGCTGGAACTTCCCCTCGAACTGCGGCAGATTCGAGCAGTGGCCAAGGTTCGGGATGAGCACGTCCTTGTAGTACGTGTTGAGATAATCATAGTAGGTCTGCTTGGGTATAGACCAGGGCAGGACCTTATAGTCGTTCTCCGCTCCAGAATTGCTGCGGTAAGCACTGGCCTCGACCTGCGGCGATTGGATTGAAATATTGAAATATCGAATGTTGGGTAGATTTAAGGGTCGGATCACCCACCATTGTGGTCTCATCTATATCGTATTTCCACTCCACGGTGCACGAAATTCCGAACTCTCCGCGATTCAGACGGTCGATTTTGGATTCAACCTTCAGCTGGCTCTCATCCGTGCTGTAGGTATCTATGGACACAGGCTCGTAGTCCCATTTTCTCTAGAATTTGACCGTAGATTGTGTGATGCTGCTGCGGTTAGGGGTCACCACATCTGTACCTACCTCGCCCACAGTGCCGTGGAGCAGCCCGAGAAGCAGCCAGATTTTGATGGTTGTGCAAAGCATAGCGCGACTTGGAGTTGGACTTGCAGTTGGATCTGCAACAATGTGACTGCGGATGGTGTATTTATACCCTTTGTTGCTATCTTTGGGCTCTGCAATCACACGGCATTATCGTGTTTCGTCGAAATTAATTTGTCCCATTTACAACATCATTACCCAAACTATTTTAGCCGGGATTAGAGACGAGGGGGAACTACTTAAACTACTTATTTCTGATCAGTTCTCATTTTCTGTATAGCCGTTTTATCCCGCTCCTTCCACCAGAGGGCGCACCCTGCACGATGAAGAGTGAGTGCGAGACAGAGAGGGAGAAGGATTAAGCGCGTGGCTGGGGGTAGCTTATTTGTTCCTTCTGGCTATAATAATGATCCGATCTAAACCAGATTCGGCAATCTGCTAGATATGGCCACAACTGTGGATGCCACAGAACAATCGTCACTTGTGTGGGCGGAAGGGGGCGCTAAGGGGAGATCTAAACTCTTCGAGTATATCGACGGTATAAAAATCATCTCCTGACAAGCATTTTGATTTTGCCCTATCGATCTACTGGATCCGATGATTTCGACAAGAAATTTGAGCCTGTCTATTTTATTAATATTCTGTATAGCGATATAAAATTTCTAAACGGTAAATTTCTCTTGGTAAAAGAGATTTGTCCATTCGGGTTCACATCAGTTTGCTTGTCACTTTCACAATAAGTATCATTCCCCACTCAACGGGTCCCGTGAAGGTGAGGATTATTTTATAGAAGCCCAGAGGTAGAACTTCGGGGAAACCGTCGTTGTCGGCCACGCACTTGTCCAAGTTGTAGATCTTCTGCGGCCACGGGGGCACGAACTTGTCCTCGAACTGGGGCAGGTTCGAGCAGCTGCCCAGATTCTCGATCACCATGTCCTTGTAGTGGGTGTTTAGGAAATCCTCGTAGGGCTGCTTAGGAATGGCGAAAGGGACCAACTTGTAGTCACTCTCCTGTCCCGAGGAACTGCGATAGGCGGTCGCCTCCACCTGATCAAGCGGAAGAGGATCGATCAGGCATCAATCAGAAGACTGTCTCATTTATACCTACCATGACGGTATCATCGAGAAGGTAGCGGAAATCGATTGTGGCCGAAATGGCGAACTCGCCGCGATTGACCCGATCGATTTTGGCTTCGATCTTAAGCTTGCTCTCGTCCGAGGAGTGGGTGGTGATGGACATTGGCTCGTAGTCCCATTTGCGCTGTTCAATGGGGGGGGGGGGGGGGGGGGGGGGGGGGGGGAGGGGGGACAAGTGTTGGTCATTTGATCACTCGAACAGCGTCCACGGGGGAGATATTTACCGCACTGTTGCAGCTCTTCGCGAGCAGAAGTACCAGGCAAAGTCCAGAGAACGATCGCAACGAGCGGGGCAACATTTTGGCCAACAATTGTGACATAGTGGCACAGCTTTGTGGGTTTTATAGTGCTAACCAGCCAACAATCTGGTCCCAACTCATCTCCAATCACGATATGCACGCAATCTTCGTGTCGTTTAGACAAAAGTGCATAGTATTCATAGAATCACAGTTGTACTCATGCCGCTTTAAAGCGCTCGATCGACACGAATCGAATTCAGATTCCGATTTCCGAGAGCGAGTACACTTTTTTTCAGTGTAAAGCAAGAAAACGTTTTGGCCTCGTGCCAGCAAACTTTGTGTTTCGTTCTGAGAGAAAATCCAATAGAGAGTGAGCGAGAAAAAAAAAAACGAAATTTTCGGATCGCAGATACCACCCCTGCTTCGTTCAGTTCGTTTCGAGCGAATTATTCTATGTAATGAGAGAGCTGAGGCACTGATTCAAACGCTAACGGAATGAGCGAAACGAATACCGGAATTCCACCAAATCGATTCGGTTTGCGGCCGACCAGTAAGTGGAATTTCGAGCTTTTGTTTTATTCAAATGATAATATTATTATTTTTGACGCGGAACACGGAATTATTGATAATTACTCAAATGTATAAGGTTCCTCTAGCTCTGAGCAACCCGTTCTTCGATGGGAGAGCATCGACGGGTCTGCTGTACATTTCTATATACCCTTCCCGTTTGTCATTCGTTGGGTATCACAGAGATATGTGGCGTAACCACAACAAAGAGAGCTCTCATAATTGTAGGCAACAAATTACGCGATGGCTAAACAAAAGATCTGTCGAGAGAATAAAGTCATAAATGCTGGTTTGGCTGGCACTGCACTATCCAGTGGATGTAAAGGGGCCCAAACACAAGTACACACAAGAGTTGCGGAGCGACTCAAGTGATCAATATATTGAAGAGGCAATTGAATGTGGTCCTACCCCCTTGAAGTGCTCCGTCCCCGAACCGATCCCAGGCTCGACCCTCGTCTGAGTGGCATGATCGGCACTTGAGCTGCCTACACTTCGGGGCGTCGTGTCGCTTGGTGGTGGAAAGGGATCTGCTGTTGCACTTAATTTAATTGAACGCTGGGATCCGATGGGCCGCCGCCCCCCCAGGCCCTGGGCATCTGGAGCCTAAAGTGCCGCCCCACCAACGCAATCGAGTAATCGAGTGTGTATGTTTGTGTGTGTGTGTGTGTGTGTGATCTTGTATAAAATCAAATTATCGCGATTCGAACGAATCAAAACAGAAGAAGAGTTTTCTGGGCTGGAAGGGGATCTGAGAGACGCTAATAAAAGCGCACTGGCAACTCCCCGGAGGCGTTCATTTAGCAACCGCAGAGGATCAATCGTGTACAACAGCAGCAGCAGCAGAAGCAGCGGCAGAGAGGCAGAGGCAGAGATGATGACGATGACGACGAAGACGACGACGATGAATCCGAGCGATTCGACAACGATGTTGCCGTAAATCTTTAACTTCCCCATGCTCTCCTCCTGCTGCTGCTGCTGCTGTCTCGTCTTTTGGCTTGGTTACTTCTTGATGTTTAGTACGTGCGGACAGGGACTGGGGCCATAACGAGAAGATGTTGCCAGGCCCCTTCCACTGCCACTACCACTCTCTGCTCTCTGCTCTCTCGTTTTCCCTCTCTCTCTGTCGAGAGGCATACAATATGTGTAGATGGCCGCAGACCCAATTTAAAACACGACTTGAACGATGACCGGCGCTGTCTTTGTGCCTGTCTTCGGCCGTGCTGTGCTTCGCCTTCCTCTCTCCCACTCTCTTTGACTTGCTGTCTCTCTCTCTCGTTTTCTGTTCTGCTGCTTCGGTTACCTGCCTGCGGTTGCTTGTAATTCCACTTCTCCCCCTGCTCCCTGGACAGGTCCGTGTCTCGGGGATTCATCGGAATGTTGAACGACAGCAGCATGGATCGAGGGGTAACGGGGAGGGGAGGGGAGGGGCAACGACGGGCACGGCATCGGCAACGGCAACGGCGGCTATTAGTAATTTATTGATTTGTCTAAATTATGGTGTGTTTCAATCTTGTTGTTTGTTGTATGCGGTGTTGCCGCTTCCAGCCACAGCCACAGCATCCACATCCACATCCACATCTTGGCTCGTTGCGCTTTTTTGAGCTATCCCGCCACATGCCACATACCACAAAGCTCTTTGCCACCCACATGGCACGGAGTGGGGCGTCAAACGTGCGATTATCTCTTCTGCTGAGTGTGTAATAAGTGATTAAATTGCGACTAAATGGCGGAGTGCAAAGAGGGAGAGGGAGAGTACAATGAGAGTACAAATATTCGCATTTAGTGACGCGTTTCATTTTTATTTTCTTAAAACAATTTAGCTGTTACCTTAAGGATTAAATGTAAACCCCATTCAGGCTGATTGGGTCCGGTGACTGTGAAGATAATCTTGTAGAAACCGGTCGGAACAACTTCCGGAAGTCCCTCGCCATCGAAGACGCATTTGTCCAAGTGGTAGATTTGCTTTGGCCACGGCGGCTGGAACTTGCCCTCGACCTGCGGCAGATTCGAGCAGTGGCCAAGGTTCGGGATGAGCAAGTCCTTGTAGTACGTGTCGAGATACTCATAGAGGGGCAGCTTGGGTACAGACCAGGGCAGGATCTTATAGTCGTTCTCCGCCCCAGAGCTGCTGCGGTAAGCAGTGCCCTCGACCTGCGGCGGTTGGATTCAAGAATTGAAAGATTGAAAGATGTTGGATGGAGGTCACTACCCATTGGGTCACCCACCATTGTGGTCTCATCCACATCGTATTTCCACTCCACGGTGCACGAAACTCCGAACTCTCCGCGCTTCAGACGATCGACTTTGGACTCGATTTTCAGCTGGCTCTCATCCGAGCTGTAGGTTTCTATGGACACGGGCTCGTACTCCCATTTTGTCTAGAATTTGACCGTAGATTAAAGCACGGCCGGACTTGCAACAGTGTGACTGCATGGAGTATTTATACTATTTGTTGCTATCCTTGGGCTCTGGAATCACACGGCATTATCGTGTTTCCTCGCAATTAATTGGCTCCAATTATACAAATATTTTATAAAAATCGGTCGAACCTCTAGGGATTATTACATATTTAATTTTATCTGTTTCCATTTTTTGGAAATGGTCATTTGGTAACTCGAGCAGTAGAGCCAAGCAAAGATCTGACTAAATGGCGGAGTGCAAAGAGGTAGAGGGAGGAGATATGTATATGCATATGAAGTGTAAATTTGTATATTCCTCGCTTTTGTCATGGAAATTTGATTGATATTCGAATACATACATAAGTATAAAAACACGCAATGTGTGGGCGCTGGGAACAACAATAACAACATAAACAACAACAACTCAACAACTCAATTAATTATGTGTCCCATACGAGAACGTGAACAGAACCAACAAAAATCAGTCAGATCTCCGGCAGTTCGGCCCACACGCACGCACGCAAATCGTGTTTTGCTGTCGTCTGGGGCTGCCACTTAATTATCATAAAATTTTAAGCACATGCAAATTTAATTGTTGTTGTTGTTTAAAAAAAAAAAAAGAGAGATCAACAGAGATTCTGGCAAACCTATCAATCAATTAAATAGCAAGCAACAAAAGGGAGCACAAAACAGTAGACTCTACCGGCTCTCTGTTGTTGCTGAAGCAGGATGGCAATAGTACTCTCTGGCAATTAGCGGCCGCTCACACTTACACACACACACAAGTTCGAACTCGCCGTCGCCTAGCAAGGCATTTTTATGCAAGGTGAGGCATATTCGCTCTTCGAATCACATGTTTTGTTGGCACAGAGGAAGCTCTCGGAAGTGCTTCACCTTATACAAAAAAACGCCTTCGGTGCGTATAGTTTCGCAGATGATATTGGCTTTGAAGGTCAACAGAAGCGGGGATTAGGCCAAGCGAACGAATAGCGAACCGCTCTAAGCCCAAGTTCTGACAACTTTTGGGCACTTGAGTGGAATCAGTGTTTATCTTGCAATAAAACCAACCAAAACCAAAGTTGACAGCGATGACGTCATGGCGTTGAGAGTGTGGGCAACTGGGATCGAACGGCGGAGATTTCCCAGCGAGTTTCGAGTTGTACATACATACATATCTTATCAGCAATCGGAATCGCAGCTGCTACTGTGCTTGAGCACGCATGTTAAATCATGATTCGAGGCACTTCACCTCTTGATAGGACGGGGGGCGGGGGGTCTGGGTCCCCAGATGCCAGAGAGGCCGCTTATCAGTAAATTGTGCCAAAGTGCTTTAATTACCGAGTCGTTAAGGTGCTGCTCCTACTCTGTGCCCTACTCGAAAACCCCTTGTAAATTACAGCACACAGTATAGGTAACCTTTAAGCACACTGACAGGCGGCGACGTGATAAGAGTATAGCCCCCTCAGAGTGGCCGCCTCTACTATATTAGTATGTATTATATTGTTATTCCATATTAATTTTTGTTTCTTCGCTCTCTTTGCAGTTTTGAAAATGAACAGTTTGGCCCGAGGGCCGAGGCCCTGCGTCTCCCTGTGTGGTTGCCTGGAAAGCTCGACTAAACGGCAACAACAACCCCATCTTCCCAGTAACGTCCGCGACAGCAACAGCAACTCCAACTCCAAGAAAAGCAGCAGAAACAGCACCGCTGCCTGCACGTTACCAGGCACTATTGGAAGTACTTTGGGCCGCCCGCGCAGTGCGGCCGCCCGATCGTTTGCGTCTGCATGGAGTCAATGAGACGTAACGAGGCGAACACTAGCCACCACCCGAATAAGGTGAGAATAGTCGTTCCCCCTGCCCCGTGCCCGCTGCCCGCTATCCTGACTTCCCCTTACTCATTCCACTCTGCGCTAGTGGGCGATAAGACCGTAATTATTTTATTGTCATCATTTCTGGCTACTCAAGTGCTCTTAGGGCATTCGGTTGGGAAGGGGGGGGTCTGCTTTGCCTGCTTTCTCAAGTGGCCACTAGACTTTTGCAGTGTGCGATAAGCGGGAACGGTGATAGGTAGCCCCGGAGACGAGAAAGAGGCAGTGTTAAAGGCAAAGGGAAAGTAATTCAACTACGTTCTGCGTGTTGATGTCATTGGTTTATGACAGCAGTAGCGGCGTTTTAGCATTGTCTGATTTATTGTTTTCCGCGGGGGGCGGGGGGGATGGCGGGCGAGTACAATCGAAATCACTTAAAGTTGTCGCGCATAGTTATTTATTTATTAACAGCAATAGCAATGTACTGGGGTACAAATGGGTGTATTTCGACGCCGAAGAGCGTTTACCAACACTAAGCGCTTTTTGTTTACTCGCCTCTGCCCTCTGGCAGCTCTACCTCTCTCTGCTCTTCCTCTCCCGCTCTTGTGTGTGTGTGTGCCATAGTCCACAGTGCGTGCCTGTGTGTATGTGCAGTTTTCGGTGGTTGCTCTCTGGCTCTTTTATATTATATATTTTTTTTTTTTTGGTTTCCCGTTCAGTTTCATCAGCAGCGTTGCTGCTCTGCCAAACGAAAAAGGACGCCGCAGAAGGCTCGCGCAAAATATTCCAAAGAAATTGTTCGTTTTTATTGTTTTTGTGGTTTAGTTTAAATAATTAGAATATATTTGTATGTAATCGGGGCCTGTGAAATGGAATGGAAAGGAAGTTTTCCAAGGTAAAGGGGAATAAAGTGAAGTGATTCGAGTTTTTCCATTATTTCGGTGCGTCCAATTCCTTCGTTTACGCACACAAACGCACACACCCACACGGACTAATACAGCTGCAACTGATTTTTTTTTTTTTTGATTCCTTTTCGTGTGTTTGCAGGTGGCCCTGAATAGCAGCAACGTAGCAACGGAAAGCAATATTAAGAGTAACAAATTGTTAGCTAATTTAAGTGCAGCGAACGCAGCAACAATCCAGACAGCGGCAGCAGCAGCAGCAGCAGCAGGAACAGCGACGGCAACATCGGGAAACGCGACGGCAGCGACAACAACGAATCAAACGTTGAATTACAATAACAAAGGGAAGGTGACGGCAACGGCAGCGAATAATCAGAGGAGCAATCACAACAACAGCAGCAGCAAGAAGCACACGAGTAAGTAAAAAAGAAGAGCGAAAGTACTGCAAATGCAATTCCCGAAGTCTCGACCTAGTCCTCCCTCCCTTTCTACCGTTCTCGCGTTCACTCAGAGGAGTCTCAAGCTTCGTTCTTACCTTCTATTTGAATATAACTTGTAAATCGAATTGCTATCTTTTTCTCCCCTCTCTCGCCGCTACTCACTCACGTTCTCTTCTGTTTTGTTCCATTTTTCTCACCCTCTCGCAGAGGCAACTGGAGCTGGAAAGACAACAGCCTCTTCGCACTCCACGGCGCTGTCATCGTCGAGCAGCTCCAACTCGAGCGAGTCGAAGGACACGAACTTCGAGTACGAGGACGAGTGGAACATCGGTGGGATCCCAGAGCTGCTGGACGATCTAGACGCGGACATCGAAAAGTCTGCGGCGCATTCGGGTGGTGGCAACCAGGCTACCTCGATAAATGCCAAGCAGGCAACCAGCTCCTCCTCCACATCCACATCCACCTCTGCATCGGCGCCAGCCAAGGCGAGTGGGTCATCGTCATCAGCAGCAGCGGCATCATCGTCATCATCATCATCGTCATCGTCAGGAGCGTCAGCGGCTGCAGTACATCACAAGTCGCACAAGACCACATTGCATAGCAATTTGTCGGCCACATCGCCAACCACAATTAAGTTCACACGCCAGCCCGTCCCCAGTGGCACCGGGAGCAGTAGTGCATCAGCAGCGTCGTCAACATCCTCGAACGGGAACGGGAACGGTAGCGGCAACAGCGGCAGTGGGAGCGGAAGCGGAACCAACACAAACGTGGTGGCTAGCAAGGGCTCCTCTTCGGGCAAGCATCATCACCACCACCACCATCACTCGACATCATCTTCGTCCTCTACCTCGTCGAGCTCCAGCAGCGGCTCCAAGGGCTACAAATCCGCTTTGGTGGCACAACTGAACAGTCCGAGTACACTCGGAAATAGCCACAGCAGCGGGAGTCACTCCAAGGCACCACCTGGCGCAAGCTCAAGCACAAGCGCAAGCGGAACCGGAACAGGAGCCGGAGCAAGCGCAGGAGCCGGAATCGGAGCCGGCAGCACATTGTCATCCTCGACATTTGCCGGCTTCTCGAAGGGAGGCAGCCTAGTATCCTCTTCTACAGCGGCAGCGTCAGCCACAGCCACAACCACAACCACAACCACAGCCGCAGTCCCATCCGCAACTGGCAGTGGTCAGCAGGCCTCCAAAGTCTCCGCTGGCGGCATGTCCTCGCAAACGGGCAGCGGCAGCGGCAGCAACACAAGCAACAACAGCGGAAGCAGCAGCGGCAGCGGGGGAGGAGGCGGCAACGCCAACAGCACAGGAAACAGCGTGAACAATAGCAGCGGCAGCGGAGGCAGCCTCAGCGGCCCAATCGGTGGCCAGAGTTCGCAAGGCGGCAGCAGCTCCAGCGGTAAAACGAGCGCAAAAATGTCCATTGATCATCAAGCCACGCTCGACAAAGGACTCAAAATGAAGATCAAGCGCACCAAGCCGGGCACCAAGAGCTCGGAGGCCAAGCACGAGATAGTCAAGGCCACCGACCAACAGAACGGAGCCCTGGGCGCCAACTCGGCAGCCAACTCCAACGAGGACGGGAGCACGGGCGCCAACAACGCGTCCTCCCTCTCATCCAGCAACTCTTCGAGCAGCGCCAGCAGCGGCAACTCCTCCAGTAGCGGGAGCAGCAGCAGTGGCAATTCCTCGAGTAGCAGCAAGAAACACATGAACAACTCCAGTGCTGGCAGCGGGTCCTCCTCATCCAGTGGCGCCCAGAACAGTGCCGGCCACAGCAGCTCGGCCAGCACGTCCTCGAGCAGCAGCCAGTCCACGCCCCAGGGCACAAAGAGAGGCAGCTCCGGGCACAGGCGCGAGAAGACCAAGGACAAGAACGCACATTCCAATCGCATGTCCGTGGACAAGTCGGCCGCTGCCGCATCGGCGGCCGGGGAGAAGGACACGCCAGAGAAGAACTCTGGATCTGGATCGGGATCAGGGTCGGTATCGGGAACGGGCGCATCATCCTGCTCCTGCAGCGGCGACGTGGGCACGCCCTGCTCCCACCACGCCTGCATCCGACGTGCCGCGCACATGTCCAACTCCAATTCCAGCGGCGGGAGCAGTTCGGGCAACGTGGCTGCTGCAGCTGCAGCTGCCTCCTCCATGTCAGCTGTGCCGCCGGGGGTGTTTACACCGTCGGCCGGCTCACCCTCGGCGGGATCTCCATCGGCCGTCGTCCCAGCAGCCGCCTCTCTGCTGGCAGCCACAACGGCCGTCTCCTCCTCCGCCTCGCAGCTATCCGGCAGCGCTGGCGGCGTCGGTGGCGGCGTAGGCACTGGAGGACCGAATGCACCGGGGCCGCCAGGCAAGGAAACCTCCGGCAGCAGCATCAAGATATCCTCGCACATCGCCGCACAGCTGGCAGCCGCAGCCGCATCCAACAGCTACACCGGCCAGGGCCCTGGTCCGGGTCTGGGACAGGGACAGGGCGGCAGCGGAAGCGGCTCAAACTCAAACTCCAACAGCAGTCAGAGCAGCTCCAGCAGCAGTGGCGACAGCAAGGCATCGGCTGCGGCCCAGGCCAAAATGATGGCTCCGGGGATGATCTCAGCGACGGTCCACCACACGATTTCAGTGCCGGCTGGCAGTGTTGGTGACGAGGACACCAAATCCCCGCCAGCCAAGCGGGCTAAGCACGAGGCAAACAGCTCCGGCAGCGGCGGCGGCAGCAGCAGCGGCAAGGAGATGGTCGACATATGCATCGGCACTTCGGTGGGAACCATCACCGAGCCGGACTGCCTGGGGCCCTGCGAGCCGGGCACCTCGGTCACCCTCGAGGGCATCGTTTGGCACGAGACCGAGGGCGGCGTCCTCGTCGTGAACGTGACGTGGCGCGGCAAGACCTATGTGGGCACCCTGCTAGACTGCACCCGACACGACTGGGCTCCTCCAAGGTGAGTG